TACAAAAAAATGTATGTCACCGTGCAAGGGGCCTCTTTGAACAAGTGGCAATGCTTCCTTGCACAGTGGCGAAAGGTAGGTAGGTGGTGTGTACGTTAATGTGTGGGGAGCGGTGGTGTAGTGGTTAGTGCGCTGCGCTTCGAACCCCGAGACCCGAGTTCGCTTCCCGCTCATGACCAACACCAGTGACGTTAATTTGAACCAGTCCTGGGCCTCCCTTAATTCGACTCAGCCTCGAATGAATACCTGGTGCGGTGTGCCAACATTGCCACTGCAAAGGCGGCCGGACGTGGTGCTGGCCACCAACCCCCTCGTGTGCTGTTCCGGCCTTCATTGGTGCTCCAACAGTCTGTTAAGGCTACACGAGGGATCTTTGTTAACGTGTGGCCCGCCAATGCTATCAGAAGTACCATTCGGTAATAGGTTACCCACACACCCCTTTGCCATCAAGTAATACTCCTTTGTTTCATAATTGCAAAGACATCAGTCTGAGATATGTTGAAAACCACACCCACGCTTGTTCGAAGATTGTCATCATCATGATAACAGCCTCCACGTGTCCACCAATGGTGGTGGTGATGACGTTGAGATTTGGGTGCACTGCTCTGTGATGGTTTGGAATGCTTCTGTTCAGGTGCTGTTGAAGATCGGTCTTCAATGAAAAACGTATATATTCTATGAAGGCCATAATTACCGCAGCAATTCCCATTGTAAATATATGTAATCGATTACTCATGACTTTAAATATAGCGTGTCAACCCATATGGTTTACCCGTATTCGTGTTACATGGAAATTGAGTTTTCAGGTCCATACGGCGTACAATACGGGCAAAAACATGTCTATTTGTCTCCCTTGTGACTTTGTAGGATGAACGTTGAGATTTATAAGGGCACGGGGTGACCAATAAGGTCGGCGGCGCACGTGGGAACAGAGGCCAGAATTTTTTCCAACTCTTTTCATGATATCCGATAAGTTAAGTAATCCAACCAATAATCGGTAGAGTGATAGATTACTGGAATATTCGAACGGTTCAGCTCTAGAGTACATAGTTGAAGACGTGTGCCTCGAAGTGTATCCTCGAAACGGAATGTAATCTGTATGACATAAAACTCAACACTTTCGTCAATAATAATGTGACCTTAAAATGAATAACATTCAATATGTGATGTTTCGAGCAGAGTCCCTCTTTAAGGGCACATGACGAATGTGTTGTTGTTGTTGTTGTTGTGCATCACCAACGGAGCAGCAGCATCACCAAATACTGCAATGTAACGTTCGTGATTTTCACGATGGATCGATTAATATCGATCCCAAAGCTCATGAATCATGAGTGGTGGAGTTTTAAATGATCGATGCTTTCAGATTTGTGTGTGGCTTATATCATTAATGAGTCCACGTGAACCCTGGAGCCACTAGAGACACTATAGTTCACGCCAAAATACATATACTTTATGTACATAAAAAAATCAGTAGATTTCAGTGACATGCCGAGCGTTTATCTAAATATCAACTTTCCATGTTCTTGGGTCTTTCGGTAAAGTCACGTAGATAGGTTCAAAGAAAATAACAAAAAAACTACGTTTCGATCGCAACGCAAGTAATCGTCATCAGGAGAAAAGAATCAACTTTCCACTTAAGTCTTGTGTTGTGCCATCACCCTTCACGAATCCGCACTGACCAGCGTGGTGAAGTATGGTCAAACAGTCGTCACGACCAATACGGCGTGGGGAAGCCTTCATCTGGCAGTGGATTGATCAAGGACTGTACACGATTGAATTATGTTGTATTTTTGCATTGCTTTGCTATACAGCATTTGTTTGACCTTACAGTAACTCACACCTTATTGGTCACCCCGTGCCCTTATGAATCTCAACGTTCATCCTACAAAGTCCCATCACAAGGGAGAAACACAAATATACAAAACACTTTTTTTGTCCGCATTGAAACGGTTGTACGCCGTATGGACCTGAAAACTCATTTCCCGGTACAAGAATACTTTAGTCTGAATGAGCAATCATCTGGTTTTAAACAAGGGCCGTCTGTCTAATTTGTGTGTGGGGGTTATTCTTTTGACCTCCGAAGTTGGCAGTCAAGGAACGCAACGCGTCTGAGATGGAGAGCGAGCGAGACCACCGAAGAGATGGAGCGATGAAATCAGCTCGCGTGCGAGTGCTCCGAGTGGATCGATGCACCGCAAGGATCGTGGAGATGTGGCGACACTGCGATGAGAGAGGGGGCCTTCATCCAGCGGTGGACTGACCCTGGCCGATGATCAGCTGCTCTCTGTGAACCGGCAAAGGGCTGAGGTTACAATTCACAGAGAGGCGCCCACGGGCTGCGTGGAGAACAGGGTTGTGGATTTTTTTTTGTAAAAATTCTTTGCACTCAGCGGTTAAGCTTGGCATTTGGGAAGCTGGATATAAGCACAACTTATGTAAGCGCGCTGTTTTTTTTTGTACACGAATACAATTACACTGGTGGGAAGGCGAACTTCGGATACAAGCACACTTTGGATATAAGCACAGCTGCCCTTTCTCGCAATGGGGTAGTGCTTATATCATGCGTATACAGTACTTCAGCATACGGCACACTTAATATGTAATTAGGCCAATCCTCGTTCATACTCCAGTGTTCAAATGCCCCTTAAATCTAGTAGTGTGCCTTTTTTTTGCTCCTGCTCCATATCCGGAACACACGCAGAGTGTGCCTTTGTGCGTCACACATTCACCACGTAAACCAGCGAGAAAGTAAATCACTCGCACATGTTGTCTTGCCTTGCGGCAGCATGAAACTGTCCGGGAAAGAGGGAGAGAGATAAAAAAACCCAACTCTAAACTACTATACTGTATGTAACAACGTAGTAGAGTCTGCGCAAGCAAGCGCTTTGGGATGGGACATTCCACGCGCAGGGGAACCTTGCTTTGGTTTTGGCGTGGCTTTCGGAATGAAGTGTGGGCCCGCCCTCCCCCCGCACGCGGTGCTAAAACTCCCAGAAACCGCCCTAACGGAGGCGAAAGTCTCCTTCAGTGCTGGCACTCATGCGGCCCCTGCTCAGAGCGGTGGCGCTGTGGTTAGCGCGCACAACACCCCTGCCACGCTTCAACGTCAGTGGGGAGTGATTTTTTTTTTAAACCGGCCATGGGGGGGGGGGGGGGTGATGACCCCCGGGTGGACCCCTGTTTACCAATAAGCATTTACCAGCGTGGTGAAGTATGGCCAAACAACCACCAAATTACCGACCATCCAGCAGTAGACAGGCAAAGGGATTACACGATATTATAATCGGTACGTCTCGTATAGCCTGTATGGCTTTAATAAAATACAGTATTGCGTGTAGGAATTCGCATCGGCATTTTAACCTTTGCCACGTATGTGTCTGTCCGCGGTGTATCTGTCATGAATTAGTCCTGGCTCCCAATATGCCAACATCCCTACAAAATCATCCCTCTGTTGCGGTAGGTGGGGTCCATTGCAGTGCATGTGGCCATCCGCACGAGTGCGTTTTTGGGTGCACGCTCAAGCCTAACACTAATACTGCAAACCGAGTGTGCTTGCAATGGCACCACGAAGCATTTGTTTCCAGGCTACCAGACGAGACAAGAGGGGGGTGTTAGACCTCATACCACAGCGCAGTCGAGGGTGGGGAGATGGAGTGGGGGGGAGAGATCGGGGGAGGGAGGGATGATTGGGAAAGTTTGGGGGAGGGGTGGTGGTGGTGACACGTGGCTACATTTTTGCGTCTGAAGGCCCCACGTCGCAAAAGTGATTGTACAAACTGGTTTGCACACCCAGCGGCACATAACTGTAATTAGCACGAGCTACCGCTACACACATACCCCTACACGACGACGGAATGCTAATTGATAGCCCAAAAACAATTATTGTTCAAGAGAAAAGTATACATACGGTAAATAACCGAAAAGACAATTAAACAGACGCAAAAGTCAGATAAGGATCACTGATGCGTTGTAGGTTATACCGCGTTGTTGTTCGGTATGTCCGATGTTTCGCTCCAAGTACTGGGACCTTCATGCATTATAATGTACTCAGCATGATCCTTCTGCCTATCGAAATTCGTGCATGGGGTTGGTTGCACGCTTGCATGGGGATATTTAATCCACAATGCATCGTCTAATGTGGCATTGTGTGGGCACAAGTCCAGTAGCGCTTTGAGCCAGTACTAGCTCTTTTATTTTTACATTAATTGCAGATTTTCTGAAACTAAATAATCGTTTTGTGATGTTTGTTGCAGATGTTTCCAGCATGAGGCCAAACAACCGTCACAGTTTTTTTCCCCCAGGAAATGTACTTAGTCTTGAAGAAGTAATACTGTACTACATCGTAGAAAGTTAGATTCATATCCCATATTCATAACTTAGTGAGAGCCCAGTGAGATAAAATCTCTCGTTTTTGGGAGATCTGGTGCAAACAAGAAATGGCCAATATATTCAGCCTATTCAATTACACCAAATTTAATTAACACAATAAAAAAACATCAAATTAAAACCAAATTGATATTAAACGAACGTAAAAAAATAAAGATGGAATTAAAGACAGATGGAAAGTGCAATTAAAGGTTGTGATTCAATGTATATTATTGTACAACAAAGGGCAGGTTAAATGGAAATAAAACAGGGATCCTTCTACTGTCATTAACGAGAAAGTTCTGGAATTTTTGGCGGAGTGGCCGTGACGTTCCATTTTTCTTTTCATTCGAAAGGAGAGCGCTCCCCACCCCTTGGCTAACACGTGCGCTTTGTCAGCCTTGAAATTAACCCCCCCACAAACCCACCCCCTGTATTTTCCACTCACAACCCTACAGTAGAAACCAAAACCTAACCCGAAATCCCCAGCCCATCTCGGCGAGAAAGAGGGCAAAAATGCGGCTCCAACCGCTAGAGAGCCAGAGGCGCTGTTTTCCGAACAGCTCTAGCGAAGCAAATCCATCACCGCAACTCCGCCCCCGATCCCCTCCTTCCATCCTTCCATCCACCTCGTCTGATCTGGGTACACCCACCCCACCCACACAAACTTGCGCCTCCTTCCAGCAACACTGGGGCTCTTCCACTCCAAACTCACGGCGGCCACGAAGTTCAACGCAACACCGATCATCAGCTTTGCTTATCTCAGCCTCGCTATTGTCACCGACAAGGCCAGCCGGTCAGGACTGTGGAGGTAACCGTGGGCTGTCAACATAAATTGTTAGGTTCTTTTTTTGCTCGTTTGGGTTGCAGTGTGCGTACAGCCAGCCACAGGGGGGTCAGGCAGCCCAGATAGGACATCAGCATTTTTTTGGTACACACTCGGCGTGACCCGAGTATAAATGAGTATATTGTTTTTCAGAGGAACTTTTCTTAGACGAAGATCTTCTTGCATGTCATATTATATATACGTGGAGTTTATACGGTAAATCCAATTCGATTAGTATAACCGATTCATATACTTCACGAAATACTTTAGGCAGTATATGCTGGAGTTAAGTCATGCTTTTGCTTTACATTACTGTGTGTCTGTATTATACAAGGGCTTTCGAGTGAATTAAGTATATAGTTTTTCAGCATATGTCCAATAGAGTTTGTCCTGGAACAATACATAATTATATAGTTGGAAGATTTTAGAGGTTATTACACTGTCCACGTCGTAGTATAACGTGCATTGTATGGCATATACCCGTATGGCATGAGCACTAAAAATATTTAATATAATTTAGTACTGTGGTGCATTGTAGGTTTTGCTGTGAAAGTCCATCTCACTGAAAGATACAAATACAATTAACAGTTTTTTTACGAGAATATTGTAGTGATTTAGGTAAATACAAATTGTTTTGTTTCGTTAAGTAGCCTTTATTTGAAATGTAAAACGTTGATATCGCAATTGTAATACTGTATTTAATTGAGGCATATTACTTTCGAAAAGGTGTGTAGTAAGGAAACGCATACTCATAAATTCACTGCAGTGTTTGAATATTGGTTAAATATAGAATAGATGTAGACACTCATGTGGTTGAGAATTTTGATCAGGTATTTTAGATTTTGAGACACTCCAATTTCTGACAATTTCAGTCAGATATCCTAGACGTAGAGAGGCACACTCGAGTGCGTGAACTTTTTTGGTGAGATATTCCAGATCTTGGGACACTCCAACGCCGAGACATTGGCCAGATATTCCAGGTGTGTAGATACTCCAATGCCGAGACATTGGCCAGATATTCCAGGTGTGTAGACACTCCAGCAACCGAGCACCTTGTTCAGATCACTTAGATGTCCGGTGGTTGAGGAGCACATGACAACGAGTGACACCTTAGCCATGGCACGTCTCTCCGCTCATCCCACTTCATCGCCATCGCCGCTGCTCCAGCTGCTCCTCGCCTCTCTGCTCCTCGCCTCTCTGCCACTGCTGCTGCTGCTGCCGGCTCTCGTGCGGTCCCAGTACGAGAACTACAACTTCTTGAACTTCCCGGGCGCCGAGCTGGGCTCGCTGGACGCGGCGTACGCCCTGGCCCTGCGGCAGTACGAGGCGGAGCAGTGGGGCGCCTGCCTGAGTTCCCTGGAGCGCGCCCTGCGCCTCCATCGCTTCATGCGCGACAGCCTCGCCTTCTGCCGCCGCAACTGCAGCCGCGCCACGCAGGGCCCCCAGTCCCTGCCCCTGGAGCTGGGACTGGGCGGTCGGGCCGGCTCCCCCCAGGGTGGTGCCGTCGAGGGGGAGATGAGGGCGCTGGGCGTCGTGTTCCGCAGGGCGCAGTGTCTCAAGCGCTGCCGGGAGATGCTGCCCGCCTTCCGTGCGGCGCAGCCGTCGCCGCAGATGCTGGCCGACTTTGACCGCAGGGCGCCCTACCAGTACCTGCAGATTGCGTACTACAAGGTACATCTGTGTGAAGGGTGCGGTGGTGGCAGAGTTGGCATTGTGAGAGCTGTGTTGTTGACCAGCGTTCGGTGGGGCCCTGTGCTGACGGGGAGGGGTGGTTGCAGAGCGAGAAAATGAAATGCACAAGTGAAAGAGACGCAGAGATAGGCATACAATGAGAGAGACATATGTGGATGGAGAGCGAGAGAGATACATGGAGAGACGGAAAGAGACGATGATTCATAAATGCGTAGAGAAACAGAGAGACACGTGGGGTGAGACGGCCATGACCAATTTATATGCAGAGATAAAGACAGAGGGTGCACAGGAGATCTGAGAGACACATGGAGAGATTACAGGCAGACACTGGAACATAGAGGGGAAGTGACAGAGATGCATCCACAGACAGACCTAGGGGATGTAGGGACATCAAGTGAGACAGAAATATACACTAAATCTTGACTTAAAGCTTTCGTGACTGCAGGAATTCATATTCTTTGAGTCTTTTGGTAAAGTCACGTAGATAGGTTCAAAGAAAATAATAGGTTGTTATTTTTGTTATTTTCTTTGAACCTATCTACGCGACTTTACCGAAAGTCCCAAAGAATAGAAATATACACTTTTGGGGGAAAAAAGTTTAAGTTTACAAGTTTAATGATCTGAAAGGTGGGAATGGACCTTGTGACCCTGGGATCTTCTATTATTCAACGCAGCAGATGAAGGAAATATGTAAAAATTCCACTCTGTTTTTTTCAGTGACTTCCAACAAATGCCACGTTAAATAACAATAACGATTTACATGTCCTTCTGGACAACCCACTGCTGGATGGAGACTTCTCCATAGCCGTGTCAGTCATTAGGGTCGTTTTACCATACTGCTCCACGCTGGTCAGTTCAGGTTGATAAACTGGGGAGGTTGTGGGAGGGAGGCAGGATTGGTTCAGATACCACTTTGCCACTGGTAACTTTGGCCAGGAATCAAACAGGTCGCTGGGTTGATGGTGCATTGCACTTACCATCTCGCCACCGCTCAACCCCATGTTAGACATGAGATCTAATTAATATTTATATAATTTAATATCCTTTATGGGTTAAAATCACAGAGAGCATTGTAATTTATAATTAATACTACACATATATTTGACTGCACAGTAATACCATTATAATAACTTTAGTCACGAATTGCCAGTGTACTTACTGAATGTATATTCATTTAAAGTTTAGTGTACAGTACATGAACAGCCCTTTTTGTCAGCCTGCTGCTGGATGAGGTCCCCCCCCCCTTGCCGTGCGGAGTGCAGGTCATGGGAATGATGACCATACTTCACCGCGTTGGTCAGTGCGGATTGGTGAAGGCAGGGAGTATTGGAACTGGAGCATTGTACAGTACAACTGCCTTCTGGCAGTATAGCCCTGCAGCAGGCTGCAAGTTACTTGCCTATGGTAACATGTTCAGGAGCTAATTGCCAATGTCGAGGTCTGCTAAGACGAGAGGGCGTCAGGAGAGAGTTCAGACATTTAATCAGGTGAGACCTGTAAATACTAGTAATTGGGTGTGTGTAAAGGAATGTCTTGCGGTGACTCTTGCCCTGTGCCCTGGCCTCTTAGTCAAGCTGTGAAAGGCTGAAGAGGCCTTGTCCAGGCAGGTGAACAAACAATTGTAAATGAATAGCACACATAGCGGGACAGTGCTTGTTTGTTATGAAGGCCGGGAGTTTGTGTGCTTGTTACCACTGGAACCCTCTTTATAATGTTTCCACACCCACACACTCTTGATAGTCCACCACAAGTGCCTTCTTACCGTGTAATTCGCTAAATCTTAAGAGAGTGTTTTCATTAAACTGTGGTTATGTTATGTTGGCACCACAAGCCCGCTATTTCCCCACCCCCGCCCCCCTTCCCCCATGCTATTTAGCAAACACACCAAAAATAATACTGTTAAATAGGAATAAGAAACTTGTAACGTAGGCATTAAACAATGAACTCTGGTTCATAGTTCATTTATTTGGTATAGCCCTGTGAGCCATTCGGCTCTTGAATCGGGTGCAACCGCAACAAACAAAAAAACATGAACAAGAAAACATCTTAAAGTGACTATGTGACTGTGCAAACAGAAAATCCAGGAAAAAAAAACATCAAAAAATATTCCTGAAAGAGCACCGTACACCAACGCTGTTTGCAAAAAATCCCAGTGAGATGCAAGTCAAAATATCAACAGACCACGCAGTAAATGTTATTGATTTACAGACAATCTCACCATTCGGTTCTAACATATTAAACACTACCTGCAGCACATGTTGGCTCAATGATGCAGTAAGTAGTCTGGGCCACCAGTGGAGAAGCTTGATGCAATGACACGCCGGATATAACAACTACGCATCTAAGAAGGCGTCAATTAAAATAGATTAGAATGGATTGAACCAAGCGTGTGAGGATTTGACGAAGTATTAATATTGGCGGAAATTAAATACACTTGAAAGTTAAAGTTAATTTTTTTAACCAGGTGAGAATACGATACCAGTAAAGTCTAATTTGCAAGAGTGCCCTGGGTTACTATAAATGACAAAATCAAAACAAGTAAATACAGCAATGAGTACAGCAATGAAGGAAATGAACATCAGAGTAAAATAACTGCATCACACGAGAAATTGAAATCATTGCTCAAACATAAATCAACGTGAATACATTCCCTGTAGAGTAAGTTGGCCTCGGGCAGATTACATTTAGAGTCGTCATAGTACAATTGCAAATTAAGTAACAAGAACATAAAATAGACTTATTTAGGCTATTGGAGCATACAAAACTATCAGAACAAGACAGACAAAAATGAGACCAAAATGAACGTTGACTTGCATTGCGGCACGGAGCGTGTCAATAAATGATTAGCCAAGAGGGGTAATCGTTGCCCACATCGTAAAGATCCCTCTACGCATCTAGCAGAAAGGCACATAACCATATCTGCAAGCATTTAGCAGAATGCCATTGCTGCCAATAGAATCCACTTTACGACCGTATCCTACCACAGTGCATTTTCGAGGAAATCGCTCCCACTGACTTTTGTCCAGCGGACTTTTACCGGCAGCGGTAACGCCGGGCGGCGATGGCGGTGCTCACGCGAATTATATATCCTCCGCACAATGTGTCCCGCCGCAGACGGACAACCTCCCAGCAGCCATGGCGGCGGCATACACCTTCCTGCAGCGGAACCCCGAGGACGAGATGGCACAGAAGAACCTGCACTTCTTCTGGACACAGCCCGGCGCGAGCGAGAAGCACCTGCGAGACCTGGAAGCCGATCCCTTCCAGGTTACCGGCAAGCGGCGGAGTGCGTGGCGCGGCACGTGGGTCGCCGATTATTCTTCTGGGGTGCTTTGCACGTTATTTGTCGCCTCTGTGTGAAACCGCGCGAGAGCTGCGACCGCACCGCCGGCCACCGAATGTGCGCGACATTACGCGGAGAGTAACTTGGCTTCAGTGCGGGTGAATAGCGGTCTTGTGGTGCCATTCGCCAGCGTGTGAGCGGCTGGTGTCAAAGCGAGCCAACTTCTGAGTTCAAATCAATCACAAGTGATTCCACCACGCGTGCAAACATTTCTGGTGTCACGAGCCCGCTCATTTGTAGTTTGGAGGGCGCACATTGTGGGCAGCAGAAGGCAGTGCAATGTTGTACTGTACTGTGTTGCTTCCACGTCTCTGTACCCTGCCTTTACCATCTCACGTTGACCATCGTGGTGAAATGTCAATTGACCCACATGATCTGTACGGCTTGGAGAGGCCCTCATCCAGCAGTGGACTGACAAAGGGCCGTACATGTACTACACACACACCCCATATATACCTTGTGTAGTTAGCACAAATGCTGCAGTGTACGAGCGAAGGCACGCGGGACATTTAATAATTAATATCATAATTACTACATCCTCGTAAAAAAATATTTCTTGATAACCCCCTCTCATTACCTCGCTCTCACCTCTCAGATTACCGGCCTATAATTGGGTTCCAGCCTGCTGTAAGTGGACAGAGCACAAAGGCGCCGTTTGTGGCACCCGGTGTGCAAATGGGCAACGCGGGACCTTGCGTGTCAAAAAACGGGGCCTCTCACTCACTGCCCCTATGCACAATCGCGGCATTTGGGGATATTTTTTTTACTTATTTTAAAACGTGCCCACCGTGATTTATGATGCTAACGGAAACGTGGGGGGGGGGGATCGGAGGGAGGGGGAGAGCGAGCCCGACGGACGAAGGTGCCTCGATGAAAGTGATCCTGCCTGGAGAGCGGCGGCGTCGGCGTGCTGTTTGCTCGACGTCCGTGACCCCGTATCACTCGAGGCCACTCTCTGATTGACTGTGAGGCTGCATTGAGGTCTTGGGGAGGCCACAGTGGCTCTGTGTGGGGAATCGCCAGAAACCTCTGAGGCGTCTTGTGTGAAATTTCGGCACGTGCCGGTTATCGTTGAAACACGATCATATATATATATTTTGTTATTAATTCACTTTTGTTCGTTGCAAAATTCTTCGAGGGCTTAGTAATGAACAGTCAGTTTTAAAGGATTAAAACATATATTAAAGTACGATTTGAAATTTTTTTTTCGCTAATAGGTAGCAGTTAATGTCTCATTAAAACTGGCACACTGCAATGTGTGACACTTTATTCCGATGCAGCGTGAGGAATGACTAAAGTGATAATTGACAGCACTTGGTCAGTCCAACGTTAGATGAAGGTCTTCCCGCACCCGTATTGATCGTGCAGATTTGTTTGAACACACTCCAGCAGTATTGCTTTGTTGACCACAAGCAATATAGGCCTCTTCCGCTTGTGCACGTCAGATTGACCCCGCCATTGTTTGCCGGCACAGCGAGGCCGGCCATCGCGAGGAAAGGAAACAAGCCCCCCCCCCCCCCCCTGATTTGTCAACGATTTAATAGGAACAACGTTGTCATGTAGTGGACTGGTTCCCAACAGCTGTTTTACACAGACCACAGGCGCAAGTACACAAACCACACGGCGGCGACGTGGCCGAGCCTATCCCCCCCCGCCCGTCATCCTCCACGTAGCCCTGACCCTGCACCCCCCCCCCCCCTGTCCTGTCCTCCTTGCACCTCCCCCCTTCCATCGGCTCACCCAGCGACTCATTCCTCTCACTGCCTACTTTTCACCTCCTCTGACGCTCCTCCTCCCTTGGGCCATCCCACTTCCCGTCTTGGCTCCTTCCCTCCCACTTCCTGCAGGGCTTTTTGCACATCTCTCCAGGCTGCCACTGACCCCCTTGGAATCGTCATTCCTGGCCCTCCCCATCTCCTCCTTGGCTCTTCACTGCCCATCTGGCCCACGCTCGTGATTTCCACCGGCCGCCCATTAACTTTCGCTCCTTGTTCCCCTCTTATCAATGGGGTCAGGGCAGAAATTGGTTTCACCTAAGGTAGCACATATTTAGCGGTACACGGTTATTAATCCGGCTAAAGGAGAGTGAATTATTTAATAACCCGACTAAATTTCAAACGGTTATCACACAATTCACTGGTATTGACCACATTAAATCATTGGAAGCACTCGAGCTATGCCACCTCAGGTTGCACCGACAAGTGAAATATCCGGTCCGGGCTCGTAGACTATCTCTTCCCACAAGGGGAGTGGTGGTGCAGTGGTAAACGCGCCGCACTATGAAACCCGGAGACCAAGTTTGATTCCCGGCCATGGCTAACATCAACGGGGAGTGATATCTAATCCGGTTCTAGGTCCCCCCCCCCCCCACAGGCCCGTTCACCAACCTACACTTGACCAGCGTGGTGAAGTATGGCCAACCCCCCCCCTCCGCCCCCAGGACTAAAGCAGCATAGAGATGCCTTCATTTTGCAGTGGATTGACCAAATTGTTTTTGCTTTTTCTCTAAAGTAACGGAATAACATGTGCGGCTTTTGTGAGAATTAATTTAATCTGCCCGCGAGGGCAAGTGCTCGCCCTGGTTTTCTTTGGCTGCGCGCATTTGAGAAGTCTACATGTGTGAGGGGCGTGCAGGCACACATGTTATGTCCTGGAGCATGTGCACATTGGCACGTACGCATGGAGACACAAACACAATGGACAAAGATTCCCCCATATAGCCTTTGAACAGGCTATTGGGGGCAAGTGCTGTTAGCGAGTTTCCAACACCACCATCGGCCGCCTTTGTATCCCTACAGTACTGAGGTTTACACACCCGTTCCAAGTACTAATTTAAGGCCGAGCCGACCTAGGGGGAAACCCACTCAAGAGTTTTTCAAATATTCAACACTTTTGTCGTGAGCCGGAAACAAACGAACTCGGGTCGGTGGGTTCATAGCAGCACAGTGAGCGGGCCACTACACTAGCGCAGTGGGATAACACACACCTATGGAGGCACACGAACAGATTGATGGCCAGCACCACGCCCGACCGCCTTTGTCTCCCTCGTGGTACTCATTTGAGGCTCAGTCGACCGTAGCGGAGGCCAAGGACCGGTATAGATAATTGTCACTAGTGTTGGCCCTGAGCGGGAATTGAACTTGAGTCGCCGGGTTTGTAGCGCAGCGCGCTAACTGCTACACCACCGCTCCCCAAAGACAAAGATCCCCTGTATAGCCTGTAACAGACTGTAGGGGCAAGTGCTGTTAGCGAGCACCTGTGAAGGCCCGCACAGTACACGAGGGGTTGGGTGGCCAACACCACGCCCGGCCGTTTTTGTCTCTCCAGTGGCGATGTTTACACACCGCACCAGGTACTCATTTGAGCCGGAGTTGACCTAGGGGAGGCCCAAGACCGGTTCAGATATTCGTCACTGGTGTTGGCCGTGAGTGAGAATTGAACTTTGGTTACTGGTTTCGTAGCGCAGCGCGCAAATCGCCACACGACCGCTCCCGACTACCATACACAGATAACAACAACCGCCATTCACCACTAAGTGGCAGTGACGTCACCACGACGCTTGTGCCAGGCTATGTGCACGTTAAGGCCACGTGACGTGTCGAACGCCCGCTGGCAGGAGGTCACGGGGCAGACCCAGGTGCCACGGGTTGACTGAGATGACTGGCCGATGCACCACCTGTGCCCCCTACTGTACCAACTTGCTGTGCTTTAGCCACCCGGCGCTCCGCCTATTGTTGTGAGCGTCGCTCCTCTGCCCACACAACGCATGCACACACACCCATCCACGCGCACACACTCTCCCACTTGCACATGTCTTCAGGAAGGTACAATTACGTTTACATGTGCTGAGCGAGGCAGAGCTCCACATGAATAAAAAACAGACCCCTCTGTGGAGGCAGGAGCTGTTGGGACTACACTGAACTCGGGGAGTGGATAGAACCGCCCACACCCCCAACCACTCCAATCTCAGCCCACAGCTGACCTTGCTAAACTTATTTTAGGCCGAGTCAACTTAGGGGTGGCTTAGACCAGAATCAAATACAATTTTCCCCACTGATTAGCACGACCAGGAATCAAATGTGAGCAGAGCATTACCAGGAGCTGTGCCACTTATCAAGCAGCTTTGACAATAAGAAGGACACTCCGAGTCGTTCCAACATATTTAATTCCCGTCTTGAAGCCTCACCTCTTTGAACTGGCCTGTACCCGCTAGTTCTGGCCGTTAACCCTGCAGGTTCAGCGTATTCCCTGCTTTCTATGCACAGTGGTGCACTTGGATCTCCAGATGTTTGTGCCACTTCGGAAAATGTAAATTATTACGATAATTATTACTTCTGCTAATTCCCCGCGCCGCCTCGTAATGCTGCGGCGTACATTTTGTTTTGTTGATTCCCCTCCGCGGCCGCTCAGACGCTGTACCGCGAGGCAGTGCGCACGTATGGCACGGGCGATCACCGGGCGTGCGTGGAGAAGATGGAGGGCGCCCTCGCCGGCTTCCTCCACGCCTTCCACGACTGCGCGAGCGCGTGCGAGGGCGGCCGCGAGGTCACCACCTTCCAGGACTTCTACGCCTCCATGGCAGGTGGGCCCGGCACACGGCAGGGACGCTGCGCGTGCGTACGTTGAAGCTCCTTCGCACCGAGCGTGGCCAACCGTGCTAATCTGAGGAGCGCTCGCCACTGTCGCACGCTGTCGCACGCTGTCGCACGTGACGGCGGCGATGTGCATGCGCGCCCCTGTGCGGGGAGCGGTTAGCGAGCTGCTCTACGAACCCCTGGCGACCTGAGTTTCATTCCCGCTCACGGGCACCAACGCTGGTGACGATCACTGTATATGAACCGGTCCTGGGCCTCTGCTCGGTCTTTGTATTCTGTGTGTCAGTGTAGCTAGCTGCCTTAATAGGTGCTCACAAATGGTACTCTCACTCAAACAGCCAATGTAGGGAATTTTTGTTGTAACCTGTGTATAGTGTGTATTATATAGTTATATGGGGAGTGATAGTGTAGCGGTTAGCGCTTGGCATTACGAACCGGGCGAGCCAAAGTTCGATTCCCGCTCACGACCAACATCGGTGACGATTATCTGAACCGGTCCTGGGCCTCTCCTAGGTCGACTCAGTCTCAAATAAGTACCTGATGCGGCGTGTAAACATCACAACTGGGGAGACAAAGGCGGCCGGGCATGGTGCTGGCCACCCACCCCCTCATGTGCTGTGCTGATCTTCATAGGTGCTCGATTATTGCACTTTCCCCAAAAGCCTGTGTGGGTTATATAGGGGATCTTTATCTACGTGCATTTTGTGCTTTGTGTGCAGTTAAAACGCGGGGTAGTGAGTGCATGCGCCAGTCATCTATGTCTTAATTCGTAACACCTGGGTCTGTTCGATGCCATAACCTCCTGCTAGCAGCGAGCCTTCCAAACTTGACGTGGCCTCAAAGTGCACCTAGCCTCACCAAAGCTGTGAGTGATGTCATCATCTCTTCATGGCCAACGGTGGATGTTGTTGTTTCTGCGCACGTGGTAGTGCTTCTGCGCACGTGGCAGGTCAGCCCAGCACATGGCATGATTGGCGTACACGTGGCAGGTCAGTCAAAGGGGGAACGTCGAATGTTCCCTGTGCATGTGGCACTCGCGGCAAGCACGGTGGCTAGGAGATGTTAACTACCTCGCCCGGTATGCAGGAGGGCGTGGGTTCGATCCCGACCTTGATGCCTACTGTATATTTTGAGTTTGCGAGTTATTCTCCCTTGTGGTCGCGAGGATTTTTCTTCGGGTCCTCCTGTTTTTCCCTCCAAAGTTATAATCAACATGCGTTTAGAGTATTTGGCTGCTATAAATTTTCACGTGATAAGCCACTTCGTTGGGATATCATTTGTGATAGCCAGATCACTTCTTAAAAAGAGCTTTACAGCTCAGTGGGCCTTACCTGGTAAAATAAAACATATTTTTAGTTTAGTTTTAGAGTTGAGGCAGCCCAGCGAGTGTCGTATGGTGGCCAACTCCGCTCGCTGCGTGGAACATCGGCTCGACACGTGGGGAGGGGATGCCAGCTCCCTGCACGTGGCCGGTTAGCAAACGCGAGCCCGGGGCAGCCTGAGCACGTGGAGCACGAGAGAGAAGGAGACCGAGAGCGATTCGCGTTGCACGAAAAACCGTCGCGTCTGAACGTGAAGACGGCGAGCCGCTCGCTTGCTGGGGCCTCGCTCTTGGCGCGGGATCTGCGGGGGCCGCTCGGCGAGTTCGTGGCCGTGCCGTCGTGGCTACGTGCCCCCCCCCCTCCCCGTCCCACGATCCGTACGGTCCCGGCTGCCAGATTTCCTTACGTGTCGAAAGGGCGCAGGGGTGCGTGTCGTTTGCCGTGGATAGCGCCGGTAGTGGGCTCGTGGCTCGGGGGCGACTGTAGCGGGGCGTGGTGGGGAGGGAGGAGCTGAATGAAAGAGGTGAGGTGGAGAAAAGGAGCAGAGGTGAGAAGAGGAGAGCAGAGCTCTCCTGGAGAAAAAAAAAACTCTCACCTGAGGTTTAGATTAAGCTGCGTTGTTCCCCGTGGCTGTACCGTGTTCGAAATAGTCTCTATGAGCCTGGGGAATATTGAGACTCAACTCCAAGAACCCTAAAGACGCCTTAGTTTGGCATAAACACTGAACTCTAATAATCATAAGGTGTGCCTTTTGTCTGGCTCTCTGAATTTCGGGCATTAACACTGAACTCTAATAACCTAAAGATGCCTTAGTCTGTCCCTTTCAGCCACAGGCAATGACACTGAACCCTAAGAATCATCCTAAAGGTGGATAATTCGGCTTTCTGAGCCTCTGGTCCAATACTGTAGTGATATCTGTCGTATTGTCGTGTCATCACGGCGCCCCACGTGCCTTTGGCGGCAGACAGATTAATCTGGATGTGCATCATCAGCAAAACGGGTAAGCCATTCGTGCCATCCACGTGAACTAGACGGGAGATCGGCCGCTATTCCGTGACCCCACGTGACTTCCACTAAACGCACGGAGGACATTTCACAGTGTGGGATGTGTGCAAGTGTCAATGTTGTTTTGTCTGCTGAGTTTTGTACGTTGATTTTTTTTGTTTACTTACATGGAACGGATGCATCCATGCCATCTCAGAAATCGCAATCTTTATTTAGGCTGCCGGAGGAATCCGATGAGCTTACGAAGCTCTTTTCTCTCGCACACGTCCGATGTGGGCGGGCCCACAACGTTCCAACGGAAAACAGTAGAACAAAGACACACGATAGGAGTGCAAAGTAGAGAAAATGGTAAGAAAAGTCGCTGAACATAGATAAGTAACGAAATATTTCATTACATAAGCACGATCTATAAAGATTTGGCAAGGCAGCCAAAACAACAACAAAACCTTCTCGGTCTTCCCAGCCCCCCCCCCCCCTTCTCGATCTTGCCAGCCCCCCCCACCCTGCACAATGCAGTTTTGATTTATATAATCTCTAAATCACAACTGCATCATCAAGATGTCATACAAAAGAGTGGGACGTGTGCAAACCCCTTGCCAACCCACTCCTTGATGGGGGGGCCGCCCTACACCGGGTGGGTCGTGGGGGCTATTTGAGCATTCTCCCCACCACATTAGGTCAATGCGGATTGGTGAAAGCAGATTGCGGGGTGCGGGGGGCAATAGAAGTATAGTACAGCAATAGAATTTGCTGGATTGTCCACTGTTGCCTACCACATAGGCGAGCAGTCTGCGACGACCTGCTGTGCATTGTGGGTCACCCGAGCAGGCGCTACCCAGGTTTAAAATCTTGATAAGCTTCCGAGGTCTGACGAGATTGGACGCTTTCTGAGCGAGATTTGGTGCCTATGACCAAACCACCTGGGACACGTCCATCGATGGGAAAAAGTAAAGCATATACGAGATATTATTTGATTTAATGTGTGTATATATTTTAGATAAGAGGCAGTCAGTCACAGGCAGAGGAGATGAGGAAGGGCAGGCCATCGACAGCATGGACAGCCAGGGAGAGGTGGTCCCAAGCAGTGGGGGCAGCGGAGAAGAATGTGCAACCTCCCGCTGAGTGAAGGTTGACGAGGAGCTTTGGCATAAGAGCCTTTGTTGCTGGAGTGGAGGGCGAGTGAAGGGGAGTAGAGGGAAATGAGAAGGGAGATTCGAAGGAAGATGAGAAGGGAGGGGAGAAGGGAGAGGGGAGATGGAGAAGGGGGAGAGTCCATGGAGGATCTTGAAAACGACGAGGGTGACCTTTAACCCTTGATACTCATTCCCACTTAATAGCCTACGAGCAAATGGCGCTGCATGCACCCTATTTTGTCAGATTTCTGAAGCTTAAGCAGGCTCGAGCCTACTTAGAATTTGAAATGGTGACCACCAGTGACCAGGAGATGGCAGTACAGCGATGGACTTAGTCCGCATTTATAATAAATTGTGTTCACTCTATTTTGGGTGTGGATTGAATACACCGGGAACTGTCAGGGTTATCCCCCCGTATTGGGTTATTGCTAGGTACTCCAGTTTACCACCCATTAATGGTATTTGCCAAACATCCTAATGCAGAACCTCCTGAAGAGCGAGTCTTCAGTATCAGCCCAGGAATTGGAATGATGAACAATTTAAATGTGCAGTGTACGTTCATTCACAATGCATCTATACAGCCAGTTATGAAAATAATCGCACAGTACAGTATCATGTTCTTCTTTGTTAAAGAAGGAAGCATTGGTCTGGGTCTCTGAGCCATTATCAACACACAATATTAAAAGAAACATGGCTAATCAATGCATTAATTAATATTTACTGTATCTTTAACAGCCCGTCGTTAACAGGGGAATGGTCGGTAAGCGAACACATTGGGCTGTATGGAGGCACTACACTACTATACACTACACTATACACTACACTACACACTACTCTACACACTACACTATATACTACACATTGGGCTCTATGGAGGCCCATCGTTAAACGATTAGTAATTAACAGGGGTGGTCGTTAAGACGAGTTCTACTATACACTACACTATACACTACTATACACTACACTACTATACACTACACTATACACTACACTATACACTACAAATTGAGCTCTATGGAGGCCCGTCGTTAAGCAATGAGCCATTAACAGAGGTGCTCGTTAGGAAGGGTTCTGCTGTATAAGTAATTATGAATGATATGAATGTACAGTGTATATTAATTCATAATGCATTTATAAGGGCAGTGATGAAAACAATCGCACAGGACACTATCATGTTCTTTGTTAAATAAGGAAGCATTGGTCTTGGTATCTGAGCCAGAGAACAAGGCCCCTGCAAACTGAGAGTGAAACTCCTAGGAGAGCCATCTGCAGCACGCACGCACTGCTGCCAATCTTACAATGTCTTGTACAAAGGAGGGCAGTTAAGCATTTAGAGGAACTTCCGGTGTTTGAGATCAAACCGGTCCATATGGCTTCCGCACCCATGACCACCCCGACGCACTATTGCCTTTCAGCCAATCGTTTGACTTCCAGTAGAGCTCCAGCCAACCGACTCTCTCGCCGTTTCTAAACCACCCTTGTCCGTGTATGTATGTTGAAACTTTTTTTCACACCGTACTTAGCCAACCGTGCTAATTGGATGTGCTAGGTGGACATAAAGGAGCCAAAAAATGTCGGAGGTGCTGGGAAAGGTAAACAAACTAAACACAAAAAGCAGTTCTAAATAAATTAGTTTTCAACCTAGATTTGACAGCGCATAGCTCCAGTGGCTTCCTAATTTCAGAAGGAACAGCGTTCCAGTTGGCTGCAGAAGCGCATTTGAAACTGCGCAATGCAGTGACTGTCCTTTTTCAATGGTTAGCCTTAAGTCGGTGCGAGGATGACCGGAGTTTGTGTGATCGTTTATGCTCCTTGACGAAATTAGGATGGTATTGTGGTTCATTTGTGGCAAGCACTTTGTGTGGAATGAGTGCGACCTTGTAACGTGTTCGTTCAGCAACCGAAAAGCAAAGTAGCTTGGCAAGCACTGAATGTACGTTGTTGGCTCTTGCCCATCGTGTCTTCTTCTTCTTCCTCGGCAACTACCCAACCAACTCCACCCAACCAACTCAATCCAACCACTCCACCCACCAAACTCCACCAAACCACTCAACTCCACCCACCCACCAACTCCACCCAACCACTCCACCCACCCAACTCCACCCACCAAACTCCACCCACCCACTCATCAACTACACCCACCCATTCCACCCACCCAACTCCACCCACCAAACTCCACCCACCCACTCATCAACTACACCCACCCATTCCACCCACCCAACTCCAGGCAACCACTGCACCCACCCAACTCTGCAAGAGTAAATTCCTCCACATTCTTGTGGGCTCTATCTGTCACAGTTAAACGGTTGCCAGCACAAGTGTGTAAGACACCGCTCTACATGGTGACCGTGGAACAGCGCTGCTGTGAAGTAGTTTGCCCGTTCCATAGCTGGCGAAAGGGCTTCCACTATCGGGCGCTCTAGAGAGTCCCTCTAGTGGATTGTTACAAAGTAAAACAACAATCACGGAAAAAAGGGGGGCTTGATTTCGTGCCCCACGTTAAATTACCTTTTAATCCATTGGCCAATCGGACAATGTAATCAATGTATTATCTATGTAATTTCCACGCACAGTCAGTTTCGAAAATTATTTCCAAGTGCAGCCGTCAATTTAGAGGTCCTCTCTGGACCTCCTTCCACTTGGAGGCCCTTCCTCTACCAGCAGTTGCGCGAGCACAGACGTTGCAGGCTGCCGCCTTTGCCTTTTACACTCGTCAGATATAAGAGTGGAAATGCAAATCGAGCTCGTTGCACGGTTAGTTGGTATGCCACACGACTAGGGGATGGGGGGGATTGAGCGCGAGGCGCCTTTCATTAGAGAGAGACGACCTGAAACCATTGACGCGTCTCGCTCGCTTTACGTGGTAGTAGATGCATCCCAAAAAAAGGGGCACACACAAAGCGAAACCGCACGAGGCAGCTGCCTGCCAAGTAGCGTGCACAGAACACGCACAGGACACACCACAAAGTGTTGTCACCGCGTTCGACCGTATAGAATTTTGGGTAGAATTAGGTAAGCCGCATATTCGCGAAATCGCACAAACCGAACCCGCATAAAGCGAGGGAAACCTGTACAGTTTTGCGTTTGTAGGGGGCCGTGTCTGCTAAGAGCTGTTCAACCGTAATGTCCATTGGTTCTCATCTCTCCGCCTCTGTGTGTGTCTCTCTCTCTCTCTGGTTGCACTGACTTGCAGAGCACTACTCGCAGGCCCTCGCGTGTAAAGTGAGCTGCGAGGCACGCCTGGTGCCTTTGTCCGGTGGAGAGCCGCAGGCCAAGTTCGTGGCCACCATGTACCACTACCTCCAGTTCTGCTACTACAAGTGTGAGTTCCCCCCCCCCGGGGGGTCTGCCAAATAGAGCGGAATGTCGCCTCAACGAACCTCAACGGTTCGCTTGATGTCGCGACACGGACATTCTTAAATTCATTCAAAAAATGATCCGCAATTGAATTTTCGGGGGTCAGGCCACGGCTTAACGATCCTACCAAATATTTTTGTGTGTCGTCGAGACCCTCCACCACCCAACGCAGCTGAACAAATTGAGTTGCCGTGCGGTGCACGGGGCGTTCTAGTAGCGTGCTGAACCTTCATTGTTTTTGGCTCGTCCGCTCACAAAGAGCGTTAGCGACCGTACCTTAATCGCTCCGTTTTGGTTGCGAGAATAATCAGGGTCTTAACGACGCAAATTTGGTCAGACCTTTACGAGGCCTGAATCCAAAACGTCAATGATCAATCATATTGGCTGCGGAAAGCTGCGTGTTAGGTTTTGTCAATCGCCAAGACAGTTGAACAAGTTTTACACAGTAACTGATACAGCATCCTGAACGCATACTTACAATCGTATTAGTGGACAATTCACCGTGTATTACAGATAGCTAACTGACACAGAATATTTAACAAACCGGGAATTTATTCGCTCGACGCTCGGACAAAATTTTGTCGCTGGAGAAACTCAAAAGTCGCTGAGTTGGCATCACTGGTCCGGCTTGGCATGCAGCTCGCGGGGATTAGAACATCGCTCGGTGGCTCATGTGGGTGTAGCGATGTGTCTATTCGTTGAAAAAATACTGGTTATTAAAACGCAATTGGTACCTGTATTGATTTGCACGTGTACGAATCCCTTTACCCGTGGCACACCACCACCGCGGTAAGGTGGAGTAGACTCAAAGATATGAAGAATGGAAAAATTTAAATCAAGTACAAAGGGAAGAGAGAAGATAAAGAATGGGAAACGAAAGGAAAAGGATGATAAAAGAACGGATAAACGGGAGCTCTAAGAGTAACACAAACTCTCAGTTTTACTGTCATGCCATAAACAGTCTAAATGTAGAGCCTGTAGGAAAGTGTGCCCCCTACTGTGTAAAGTCTAGAAAGGCCACTTGGAGAGTGTTTTGGAAGCTTTGTGAAAGCCTTGCGAGATTTCCCAATGGATTCATCTCACGGTGAATCTATTTAGCGCAATTGGAATATGGAGGGAGGAAAAAGACCAAATAAAAGCCATCCAAATGTGTCTCCCTCCACGCGCGCGTCAGTTTGTGGGTCGCGACGTTCGAAGTGGACTGCACACCTCAAAGGTTTGGTGCTGCCCTCGTGGTCGCCCCCCACCCCCCCAACGTGATCCGTGGATCAAACAAATCACTCGAGACGGACAGCGTATGGCAGTCAAGAGCAAGTTTACGTGAACGCAAGAGGTCACGCGTTTTACGCCAACGGTCCTTCGCTGACTATGCGTGAACGAACGAGTAATCTAAAATACGGTCGTCACCCAAACACGAGCCCGCCGTTGTCAGGCCGCCGTTAATTCACAAACGCGGCGCGTGGATTTGCTTTCCTGACGCGGGCGCCGTGCGTGCGCCTCGTGCGGTGCGGTGCGGTGATGGCGGTGCGGTGATGGCGGTGCGGTGATGGCGGTGCGGTGATGGCGGTGCGTCTCGATCCAGTGGGTGAGTTCAAGCAGGCCGTGCGCGCTCTCGAGAGCTACTCCCTGTTCGACCCGGAGGACGAGGTGATCAAGCAGAACCTCGTCTACCACAAGGTGAACAAGGACGCGGAGGGGCTCACGAGCGCCGACTTCGAGCCGAGACCGGTGAGGACTCGCCGCGACATCACCGCCGCCACGTCACCGCGGGGCCGGTGCTGGTGCGGCGACTGCGGCGCCTGCGACAAGTTGTCGTCCATCGTGCCGCTGCTACCCCCCCCCGCTGCTGCCTATCCCCTGCTGCTGCGGTGCCGGCACCGCCCCACCATAATAATAAAATTAGTTTAGCCACCACCAACTGCCACCGCTTGCTTTGCTTGCAGCAATTTGGCAGCTCCCTCTGCCACCCCCGTCTTCTCTGTAACTTTGAATCCTGTTCCCTCAGAATCACAATCATAATGTTGATTTAGACTGCAGGAGGAATCCGATGAGCTGTGAAGCTCTTGACTTAAAGCTTTCGTGACTGCAGGAATTCGTATTCTTTGGGTCTTTCGGTAAAGCCACGTAGACATCTACGTGACTTTACCGAAAGACCTAAGAAATGTGAGTCCCTTTTTATTTAAAAAAAAATTCCAGTATGGTGGCTCAGCGAGTGGCAACAGCAAACAATACAACACAACCGATAGGAGTGCAAAAGTATAGAAAGTGGAAAGCAAGTCACTAAACACGACGGTGATTGGTTCCACGAAACCGGTCGTTAAGTGATTTGGCCGTTAAGCGAGTATAGGAAATACACGCGAAAGGCTTAATTCGTTCCGATAGCATCGGAAGTTTCCCTTTTTCACCCAAATTTTTAAAAAATAATATTTAAACAATGAATATTAATACATAAAGATACTAACAACATTATAAACACATTAAAAGAAACGTGGTTAATCAATGCATGAATTAATATTTACTGTACCTACAACAGCCCGTCGTTAACAGGGGCATGGTCGGTAAGTGAACACATTGGGCTCTATGGAGGCCCGTCGTTACCAGGAGTGGTCGTTAAGAGGGGTTCTACTCTATACTACGATACACTACACGACTATACACTGCTATACTATACACTACTATACACTATACACTACACTACTATACATTACTGTACAATACACTACACTTCACTACACATTGGGCTCTATAGAGGCCCGTTGTTAAGCGATGAGTCGTTAACAGGGGTGCTCGTTAGGATGGGTTTTACTGTCTAAGTAAATAAATACATTAATCCTATAAGTCCGATTTATTGAGCTTGGGCAGAAAAAAACAACAACAACAACAACAACAACAAAAGAGTTTCTTCCCACCGCCCCCTGCCATCCCCACCGCCATCCCCACCGCCATCCCCCCCGCCATCCCCACCGCCATCCCCACCGCCATCCCCACCGCCATCCCCACCGCCATCCCCACCGCCATCCCCACCGCCATCCCCACCGCCATCCCCACCGCCATCCCCACCCTAAATTCCCAGGAAGCGCTGGAGTACCGTGACCTGAGCGTGCGGCTCTGGGAGATGTACAACTTCTCCGTCGAGTTTCTGGCCCCGGACGACGAGGTGGGTCACCGCACTCGTACGGCCTGCCCTCAGAGTGACGGCCTAATTCTCGACGTGTCCCACTTTCTTTAGCAATAATGCTGTCGTTTTACCGTGAAGCGTGAATATAGTCAAGTTGCAGCTTTGATTTGTTTTCATTTTTGATCGGCGCAGCGATTTACATCATCTTTTGATTTAAAGCTTATGTGACTGCAGGGATTCATATTCTTGGTTCTTTCGGTAAAGTCACCACGTAGAAGGGAAACAAAATAATAAAAACATAAAACAATAAAATTATCACGACGTTTCGACTGCAACACAAGCATTCATCATCTGGTGTGAAAACCACAGCAAGAAAATTTGAAAAAAAATGATTGCTGTGGTTTTCACACCTGATGATGATTGCTTGTGTTGCAGTCGAAACGTCGTGATAATTTTATTGTTTTATATTTTTATGATTTTATTGTTTCCCTTCTACGTGGTGACTTTACCGAAAGAACCAAGAATATGACATCATCATTCTGAGAAACAACTCAGTCTGGAGGTGTGTCAGAGCAATGGTGCAGCGAGAGACTTAACTTTTCTTTGTATTTGTGTGTTTAGTTTGTTGTCCTTTCCCCGCACCTCCAATTAGCACGGTTGGCTATGTGCGGTGTGAAAGAAGTTCAACGTACACACACACTGTTTACAGCACACTACAAAGCTGAAAAAGTCAATGCGTTCGTAAATAATACTGGCCTCAATTTTTTTTTAAGTACACAAAAGGCATCGTTTTGGGCAATGGCCGTTCTTCAGAGCACATCGAGGCCCAGAAGGGTCGTGTGTGAGTTTGTTTTTTGTAAAGTGTGTTCGTGTAGCACCACTGTCATCATCATCGCAGCAGCAACAGCACCACGAGATAATTCGTTTTCATTTTGAATAGTTATGCTGGGACTGCCTGGCACGTGACGAGTCTGCGCGGAGATGCGTTTCACAACAACTCAGCATTGCCCTGCGCGCCGTTCAATTTTGAATTTCAGAAGTGTGATTTAAAAGAAAAAATCTATATACAGTCGTCTCGAGACCCAGTGTTACATTAATGGGTAAATATAGGCAATAATACTGTACATAGATATAAACTCTTAATAAAGGCCCAGCAGCCAAAGCATCTAGGTTCACCGCCTGAATGCTTTCGAACACGACAGGGAATGTAGTTTGATGTTATCACACCAGATTCAGATATCTCGTGAAGCCAGCATATCACGGGCTCTCGGTTCTGGCTTTGCACGGCAAATATCCGGCGGGCAAAACCACCCGTCCCGCATTGAGCCCTGCGCTGGCGCGGCTCAGATATGCCAGTGGAAAAGGGGTTATTTAAGCGCGCCATTCCCAGGCCATTGGCGAGGCCGCGTCGACCAAACCGACGATCGCGCGTTGGTGTCCGCCGCTCGCAGATGGAGCTGGACGGCGACGTGACGTACGAGCCGGAGCTGGACACGTCGGACGTGGAGTTCGAGGGCGAGGGCGACTACGAGGAATCCATCTACTCGGACTGGTGGCAGGAGCCGCAGCACAAGGGCGACGTGGGCGTGCCCAGCAGCTGATCGATCGCTCGTCACTGTGCACAGCACGCGGCACGCGACCGAATACACGGTCACTTTTTTTTTACCAAACTGCCCGAATACCTCCCCCCTCCCCCCCCCCCCCCCCCCCATGAATGTATGAATGAGCCTGTGGCGCAGGGCTCAATTTCAGCGGGGTCTGTCTGGGTCAGAAATTATTTTCCGCGTGCCGCACACCACTTCCGGTATACCTCCTGCAATGGTTGTCGCCGCTAGGTTAACGTGCCATCAGTGACCTGGAAAGTAAGAAGTGGAGCCCTGCCGTGCGGTGGACTTTATTGGCTATCTCACGCCCGCAGTCCATCTGAGCACAAACCAAAAAAATTGCCTGCATCTTTGCAGCGTTGCGCTGATGTTGATTTTTTTTCTTCGTCATCATCATCATCATCAAGTGTCGTCCTCTTAACCGAGGTTCGTTGCTTTCCACCGTTGACGATCGTCAGCATCGTCCCGTCCAGCTTGCTCACATTTAGGTTCGTTGCTTTCCACCGTTGACGATCGTCAGCATCGTCCCGTCCAGCTTGCTCACATTTCCCTTCTTCATATTTTTCACTTCGATTTTTCTTCGCAGAATCTATTTCATCAGTTGGTCCCACTGAACCTCCACTACCACTCCTCTGATTAGAATCCTAAGTTGTTCCAGCCTGTGTTCGTCCTGCCAGCTCACTCTGCCCGTTCTCCCATAACACCACATCTAAAGCTTTTCCTTGGGAATTGTTTGAGTTTGAAGGGCAGATCAACAAAGCAGGATTTTTGTTTTCACATTTCGATTTTTGTGTGCCTGTTTGGCTGCCACATGATAGGTTTATTTTTTTGGTTTCCTAAATGAGCATGTGCTTAGGAGGGAGAACCCATGCGGCCAGGTATGGTCTGGGCGACTTTGAGTGACCCATGAGTAGTACAAATAACGATAATGACGTGGAATTTGCAACACGCACGGTTTTCGTTCTCTCTCGGAGTGAGAGAGAGAGAGATTACGATTCAGAGGGCGCGGGAAACCACAGATGAGCGGGAAGGCAGCCAGAACCATCGCCCATGATTTCCCAAGCTCCGCGGTTCTATATGTGGATGTTTGGCCAACTCCATTAATGAGTGGTCATTACATGCGGGAGAAAACGGGTGTACCCGTAGACAACAAAACCCCATGCATGCGAGGGGAGGTGATAATCTCCTTACAGATGGATGTATGTGGCAGTCGGAGCCGCCTTAATGTGACATCGCATGTTTTTTATTGGGCGGGGCTGACCTCACTGCTAGTGGTGCTACACCTTCATAATATTATATATATAAAACGTTCTCACTGCGGTTGTGCTGCGTAGCTCTCCGATGCATTTCCGGTCTTGCGCCGCGTGCCTCTTGGCGCGAAGTCCGACGTTTCGCTGCGGCTGCTGGGAGCTTCGTCAGGAACTGAAGAAGTGCCCAGCGCGTGGAGCGAAACGTCGGACGTCGCGCCGGATCGGCGCGCGGCATGACAAGAAGGCGCATCGCGCGTGTCGGAGCGTTTCCGCTTAAACAGTGTGCGACCATCGTTTCTACATTTGCAGATTTCTAGCCGATAGAAGTTAAGTGCATGTTGAAAAGCAAAAGGTGTATTTGATAACATTGCATTCAAATACGGTATAACTCATTGTTGACATTCGGTGCTTTTTTTTAAAAAATATATATGCATTGATGGGAACCTGGCTCCTTTGATTCTCGGCACAACTCTGTAAAGAGTTGCAGATTGCCGGAGTTGTGTTTGTGCCTTCGGCTGAGCCACACGGGAAGCGCAGCTCGGTGAAATTGCGCGTCGCCGGTGCGCCTGCCGCTGCCACCCCTCGTGTGCCCCCTTGTTAACGCTGCCGTCCTGCACGCACGAAGCTGTGATTGCCAACGTTGCTCGCTACCTTTCTAGTGTAAATAAACATTGGAACGTGTTGACTTTGCCTCCACCGATAGTTTTGACTGGATGCTGTTTTGCCGCGTGGTTGCCAAGGCCTTTCCAATTTCAGCGATGGGCTGCCGATTGTTTAAAATAGATTTTTTTACTGCGTACCGGTTTGCAGAAATATTTAACAAAAAATAGGTGTTGGACTCCGCCATCCGCCATAGGGTGCGTCTTGTCTCCACTCCTGTTTGTGATTTTCATGGACAGGATATCAAGGCGCAGCCGAGGTATGGAGAGTATCCAGTACGGGGGCATGGAGGTGGCATCGCTACTTTTTGCAGATGACATTGTCCTCTTTGCCTCGTCAGTCTGTGATCTCCAGCGTGCACTTGAACGGTTTGATGCCGAGTGTGAAGCGCCTGGGATGAGGATCAGCACCTCCAAATCTGAGGTCTTGGTTCACTCCCAGGATACGGTGGATTGTGCTCTCCAGGTGAGGGATGAACAGCTGCCCTTCGTGGAGAAGTTTAAGTACCTTGGGGTCTCTTTCGCGAGTGATGGTAAGTGGGAGCGGGAGATCGACCAGCGGATCGGCGCTGCGCCCACAGTGTTGCGGGCACTGTACCGTTCCGTGGTAGTGACGCGGGAGCCGAGTTCTCGGACAAAGCTCATAGTTTACAGGTCGATCGACGTTCCCACCCTCACCTACGGTCATGAGCTTTGAGTAACGACTGACAGGATGAGATGGCGGTTTCTCCACAGGGTTGCTGGGCTCACTCTCCGTGATCTAGTGAGGAGCTCTTTAATTTGGGACAGCCTCCGAGTCGAGCCGCTGCTCCTCCCCATCGAGAGGAGCCAGTTGAGGTGGTTTGGGCACCTGGTAAGGACACCCCCCCGGTAGACTCCCCCTGACACTCTACCAGGCAGCACGTCCCACTGGGCGAAGACCCCGAGGCCGGCCCAGGCCACGCTGGCGGGACTGTGTCGCTCGGCTGGCCTGGGAACGCCTGGGAATTCTCCAGAAAGAGCTAGAGTCTGTCGCCAGGGACAGGGAAGTCTTGGACCGCCACTACTCAACACGCTGCCGCCGCGACCCATAACAGGACAAGCGGATTGAGAAACGAATGAACGAACGAACGACATCCGTAAGAACTTTAATATGGAACGAACGATGATAGAATTGCAGAATGCAGACTGCTATGGTACGTACGTATGTATGTTGAACTTCTTTCGCACCATACATAGCCGACCGTGCTAATCGGAGGTGTGGGGGGAAGGACAACGGTTATGCCAGAAAAACGCCACCAAACAGGAATCTGGAAAAATCATTGGCAATGCTCGTGAAAGAAAATAGGCAAGGATGAACTAGAAATAGATGGATTGACAAAGTGGAGGAGGAGGGAGCACTCGAATGAAAAGGAATTGAAGGAAACGTCAGGGTGACGATCGCCAACAGCATAGCACTTGCTGTGGGAAGTTTGTGGACCCAGTGTCTTCTGTTAAAGAGGTTGGATGGGATTGGAGAGATGATTGTCCATAGGGGAATGGTTAGAGCGTGGTCCTTTATTGTATCCGCATCTCAAATTAGCACGGTTGGCTACGTACGGTGTGAAATAAATTCAACATACGTGTGTGGTGTGGTTACTGCTCAGCAGGCACCAAAACAAACCAATTTTCCACCGCATTTGGTGAAGTGCAGCTGCCACGGGTGGTGAGGCATGAAGCAGAGGGCCCTGTGTGTCCGAATGGGTAACGTGGGAGCTGGCTGGTGTGCTCGAGATTTATTCAGCCCTTCCCCGCCCCGTGATTCTGTGAATAGTCGCGATTCAGCATTCGAAATGAAATTCAAATTAGTTTTTTTATGTTCGTTTAATATTGTGCTGAATGTTTGGCTGAGGTTTATCGGCCATTTCGCTTCTGCAGACTGAGCACGCAAATCCATTTTTGCAGTTGGTCCTTTGCAGCAGCATTAGCATAACATTTACATTCATTCTAAATATGTGATTCTCAAAACCATTAATTTGAGTGCAATAGCTGTTTATTTACCACTTTGATTATTGAGCTTTTGTTATTTCAGAATTCTAATTACATATAGATTTCAAATATATATACACACCATGATACAATGTTTTTTGCGAAGCGGACATGATCATTATATTATGTCGTACAATCTTACATCGTACGATATATCGTAGTGTCGCCATATCACGGCAACCCGAATTGTAACATCTATTGGTCTCCCTTTAAAGCCGCTTTCTTAGTCCTGGTCGAAAATAATAAGGGACTGAATGAAAAGAGGATGTGTGTTAAACGGTGGAATACTGCGTGGTTAATAACTGAAAACGGTATGTGATGGGTGATGAATAGGCTTACTCTTAAGGCTTATGAGAAAATGAAGTGGTATGATCATGTGGTATGGATAGGCTCATGGGGGTTTAATGGACCATACTTTACCACGCCGGTCAGTGTGAGTTTGTGAATGCTGGGAGCAGAGAACCAGTTATAATAGTTACAGAACGGCAATGTGTTTCGCAGCACAGACTCTATTCAAAATCAACACGGAACCAAGATAGCGCGCTGTTCCTATCCTCATGTGATCCGCCAACCCCCCCCATCCCTATGCATGCGGTAAGCCCACGAGCATGTCAGGGCCCACCGCCCTCATGGTGGCAGTCTATTTTTAATGTATTCGCCCCTTTGTCATCTCTGAATCTTTTTGAAAATGTTTTTCGTGAAAATTGTGGCCCCGGTTGCGAAGCGGGTGCTTCCATTAAAAATGAGCGCAACTGCAACGGCTTCATTGCTTATTTATCGCGGGGGGTTCTTTATTTATTTCCCACCGCACTCACCGCGCTCCCCCCCCCCCCCCCCCCCGTTGTCTCAGGATGGCAGCGTGAGAAGGATCGTGCTTTGGCTTAGCACCGCGTTGCGCTTCGTCGCCGTCCTTATAACGTCTCGGCGTGCCGGATTTTTCACGGCAATGTGAAACGGCCGTTCGCTCCGTTCTGTTCACCGTCGGCAGTCGCCGTGATCCAACCGCTGCCCGGATGAGGACCTCCCCAAGCCGCCACCAACGAGTCCATCTCGATCCGGCACGCACGAGGTGACTTCACTGCCCTGTCCCCGTGGCGGACCTCCTCTCCGGTGCGTTTCTCTCCTTCGGCTGCCACTTCGTCGTTGGTCACGACCATCGGCCATCGTCCCTGCGAGCGACGTAGCCTCCCCGAACTCGCTCTCCTTCAGAGTCGACGTACGGTCTCTTCTCCCGTAACGCGGTGGTAGTTGAGCTTCTGAAGAACACCGCGTTATGGAGAAATCGCGTTATAATAAGTAATATATGACATGGGCTGAACAAACACTGAGGCGCGTGGGTAGCATCTGGAAGCATCCAGCAATATCCCGCCTTGTGTGACGCTACACCGAGGCAGCCGCAACAACCGCTTATTCCTACTCACGCGAAGTAGTTCTGTTTGCTCAATCGTGCTTTATAAAATTCCCATCCACGTGAGAAAAAATCCAGAAAAACGCATGTCAATAATGTTATAAACTGATTTGCATTTTAATGAGGGAAATAAGTATTTGACCCCTCTGCAAAACATGACTTAGTACTTGGTGGCAAAACCCTTGTTGGCAATCACAGAGGTCAGACGTTTCTTGTAGTTGGCCACCAGGTTTGCACACACCTCAGGAGGGATTTTGTCCCACTCTTTGCAGATCTTCTCCAAGTCATTAAGGTTTCGAGGCTGACGTTTGGCAACTCGAACCTTCAGCTCCCTCCACAGATTTTCTATGGGATTAAGGTCTGGAGACTGGCTAGGCCACTCCAGGACCTTAATGTGCTTCTTCTTGAGCCACTCCTTTGTTGCCTTGGCCGTGTGTTTTTGGGTCACTGTCATGCTGGAATACCCATCCACGACCCATTTTCAATGCCCTGGCTGAAGGAAGGAGGTTCTCACCCAAGATTTGACGGTACATGGCCCCGTCCATCGTCCCTTTGATGCGGTGAAGTTGTCCTGTCCCCTAGCAGAAAAACACCCCAAAGCATAATGTTTCCACCTCCATGTTTGGCGGTGGGGATGGTGTTCTTGGGGTCATAGGCAGCATTCCTCCTCCTCCAAACACGGCGAGTTGAGTTGATGCCAAAGAGCTCCATTTTTGTCTCATCTGACCACAACACTTTCACCCAGTTGTCCTCTGAATCATTCAGTTGTTCATTGGCAAACTTTAGACGAGCATGTATATGTGCTTTTTTGAGCAGGGGGACCTTGCGGGCGCTGCAGGATTTCAGTCTTTCACGGCGAAGTGTGTTTCCAATTGTGTTTCTTGGTGACTATGGTCCCAGCTGCCTTGAGATCATTGACAAGATCCTCCCGTGTAGTTCTGGGCTGATTCCTCACCGTTCTCATGATCATTGCAACTCCACCAGGTGAGATCTTGCATGGAGCCCCAGGCCGAGAGAGATTGACAGTTCTTTTGTGTTTCTTCCATTTGCGAATAATCGCACCAACTGTTGTCACCTTCTCACCAAGCTGCTTGACAATGGTCTTGTAGCCCATTCCAGCCTTGTGTAGGTCTACAATCTTGTCCCTGACATCCTTGGAGAGCTCTTTGGTCTTGGCCATGGTGGAGAGTTTGGAATCTGATTGATTAATTGCTTCTGTGGACAGGTGTCTTTTATATAGGTAACAAGCTGAGATTAGGAGCACTCCCTTTAAGAGTGTGCTCCTAATCTCAGCTCGTTACCTGTATAAAAGACACCTGGGAGCCAGAAAACTTTCTGATTGAGAGGTGGTCAAATACTTATTTCCCTCATTGAAATGCAAATAAATTTATAACATTTTTGACATGCGTTTTTCTGGATTTTGTTGTTGTGATTCTGTCTCTCACTGTTCAAATAAACCTACCATTAAAATTATAGACTGATAATTTCTTTGTCAGTGGGCAAACGTACAAAATCAGCAGGGGATCAAATACTTTTTTTCCCTCACTGTAGGGCCATCCACTTACACACAAGCCTGGATGACCCCAAAAACTTCCTCTCCCTAAATCCTTACAAAACCTCTTCCCAAACTCTTCCGTCCTCACTCTCGGTGTCACCTTTGATTCCACTCTTTCCTTCACCTCTCACGTTGCCAATACCACTCGCACATGCCATTGCCATCTGTACAACATCAGGAAAATCCGCATCCCTCATCACTACCACCACTGCCAAAACTCCTCGTACACTCCCCCTTGTATTCACTGGTCGGTCTCCCTGCTTACGCCTCTATCCCTCTCCAGCACATCCAAAACGCAGCCGCATGCACTGTGCTCAACCTTCCACACACATCCCACTGCTCCTCCTCTCCTTCAACAACTTCGCCGGCTTCCCGAGTATTCGAAGCTTTGCACGGTCTTGCCCCCCACCGTTACCTCTCAGCTCTCATTTATTTTTTTGTCCCTTACCGCTCCCTCCGATCTCAATATTCCCATTTGTCTCGCTGTTCCCTCGCTTCCTTGCGCCCAGTCTCGCTTTCGTCCTTTCTCCTTGCCCCGTTGCACCGTGGATCAAACTCCCACTCCACGTTAGACTCTTCGCTCGCTTTCCTCCTTTCACTTTGCCCTCAAGGTCCTTTCTCTTTTCTGCTGCTTTTTCTCTTCCACTGCCTCCACCCCATGCCGGTTCCTTCCCCCGCTTCTAACCTACCCCCAGTCCTCCCGGTCCTCTTTATCCTACGACCCTAATTCCTGACCCGGCTCCCACACCTCACCTTTCTTTATGTGCCCCTAACCACATCTCTCCCACAGCCCTCCGCTGTGCTCCTCAATCAGCTCAACTATCCGGCCACTGGACCTTTGCCCCTACCACCCTTCACCTACCCTCATTCATGCCCGGCCATAGCACCTATCTATCTTACCGCTTCACACATGTGCCCCATCATACCCCGCCGCCTCTCATCCACGTTGCACCCATCCTCATTCAACATCATTCACCATCACACTCCATCTTATTCCTCCTTGCCTACCCCTGCAACAAAACCAGCTCCATTCCCAGGCCCTGTCCCTCCATCCCTTCCGCCACCTCCCTCACCGACAGCCGCTCCACCCTACCCGTCGCTTCCCTTCTGCCTCCTTTGTCTACCGCCGTCGGCTTGCGTTGCAAAGTGCCCTGGAAAGGGCGCTGCTATACGAACCCTAAATCGAATAGAATACACCCTGTTGTGCAAATACACACGTTTCAAAATGCAGTCAGCCTCTCCTATGGCCGCATATGAGAGGCTGATTGACGCACTGGGTCAATCAGCTGCTCCTCACTCGTCGAGGGTCAGTGACTCGGTGCCCACGTGACTGCCAGCACGTCGGCAAGTAAAAACGTTTACTCTGAGAAACGATAAAAAAATCGAATTGCACATTCTACATCTTCA